CATTTAATGAAATGTGCTTAATTGAATATTTTGAGAATTGATATGTATTTTATAATTATCCACTCCGGTCAGTACAAGCATCGTAAGCCTGCTTGTAAGAGATAAGATAAGATGATAAATGTTAATATTTATTCTATTAGTAATTTGACTATGCGAATGAAATTCATTACAATTATGATTTTTTCAAAAAACTATCGAAAAATTTCTTTTATGCCGATTCTTGTAAAAATCACAAAGATTATATTTAATTTTACTACTTTTATTGTTCAAACACATATTCATTATAAAAATAAGGAAAGACCGTTAATGAAATACGCCATCAATTCATCTATCAGTGAATTTGATTTGCACGTTACAAATATCGAATGATCAAATAATCGAATTATATATAAGTCAGTATTATTTTGATAGACGCAATCTACTCAGATAGCATATTAAGTAAAAATATGGAATCTTCAAGGTTGCATAGGCAGGTTATTCGATCAAGCTTTTCTCGTTGTGCATTAAATGATACGAAGATACTCGTTACTTACTTACTTCATTATATATTTACTATAGAGAATATTTTTATTTTTGTATTTAAAATCTTTCATAAGACTAAAGCCTACGGAATTTTTATGGACAAAAATACGCGGAAGAATAATATGACATGAAGATATTTTATCGGTTTCCAAAAAAAAAAAAAAAAAAAAAAAACGACAACAAAAAAATACGAATTTGATCTGAAATTGTATCTATAATCCTTGTATTTGTTTCAAATCATCTCGAATACAAACCCGAGTATCATAGAAACAAAAGATTTATTTAATAATTAAAATTTTTTTTCCCATGAATTTTTATAATGAGAATTTAATGTTTAAGATTGACCGTGAAACCTAATAATTTATTGTAGTGAAGGTGTATGATAACGATTACAAGATTGAATAATTGTTGCTGGATAAAGTATCTATGACTAGAAAAGATGTCAGACTTATAGGCGCCATTCTCGAAATTAAGTCTACGAAGGACAGAGATGTAACTCATTTGTTCGTCTGGTAAATATTTTTATCGATATAACTTGTGCGCAAATCATAGTCGAGGAAAAAAAATTCCTACAACAAACTTCGAAGTATAATAGAACCAATGACACTTGCGAAATAATATTTTGAAATTCTTATAAGATACTATAAAGTTTTACATTCATGACACATAAGGTAGTATTGTCAAATTTAATCTTAGGTACATATTAGTTTTAATATACTATCTCTTTTTAAGTACAACAAAATTTACATACTTCAATCAATGTTTCTAATAGAAAACGAATGAAAAATTACCATTAACTGTTACAAAGGGCATTTATTTAATTTACTAATTACTCGGTGATAATAAATATTATGGGAGTACGCTTTCACCCTATTCATTCATATAAAAGCTTGTTTTTTCTTGATTATTTTACTTGCTTCGTAATAAAATGCTTATATCTAGAAGTCTTAAAATGACATTCATAAACTTTTCATTTTTCTTCTTATTATTATTTTTTCAATAGTAACCGATATTTATTAAATAAAACTCCAAATTTCGGTTCATTTATTAATTCATTCTCAAATTGTAATAATTAATTATATAAAAAGAAGCAAAAATGTAAAAACATGTGACATTTAATACATTATAATTCTAATACGAGTATATATAAAAAGAATAGAGAAAGAAGACACTAATTTTAACTTTTAAGTTTATCAGATAAATGAATGGCAGTATGCGTTTTATTTATACAATTTACTTCATGATTTTGCTTTAAACAATGGAAATAATGTGAAAGAAAGTTTACTAGTAACTAGTTTTAACATAGATATATTGGCTGGAATCAACGTTTTCGGTTAAGCTAGTAAGAAGTTACCGCTCAATACATAAGTTGTGACGGCTCACATATTGGTAGAGATGAGGTCATATCGTGGTCTTGTTCTGGCAATGTATCACAACGTAATTTATTTTTTTCTAAAATTGCAAGATGTAGTACAGTGCCCTTAAATCGATGTTGGAGATGAATTCAATAATTTTCAAACGGCAATCGATTAAATGACCGATTAAACGTACGGCTTTCCGAAGTCAAACCACAAATTGCTTTTGCTATTAATACCGATCATTTTTCCGGCACATTAATACTTCACACTTATTTATTTAACGATTGTCGTAAAAGTTTTAAAAAGCATTTCTTTTAAGTTTCAAAGAGCTTCAGAAGTTTTCTCACCAAGTATTTTTTAAAATTCACCACTTCAAGTAATTCGAAATAATTATATTGAGTATTTTCTAATATTTTTCATTAATTTTTATTTTAAGAAAAGTTAATTTGCAAATTATATAGCGAAGATTTGAAAATTTGGCAATTATTTGTAATTTAAATATTAATTCACACCGACTTTTCCTTAATCAGTCTAAAATATTTTTTCCAATTTCCAATAATGTTATATAATATATTTATTCTAATATCATTATAAAATACATTTGTTTATTAACAGTCTTTCAATATGTTCTATAATTAAATGTTACATAATATTACATAAATATTCTTCAAATTACTTACTAGTTTTTATAAATTTTCTTACCCATTAAATTACGTTTATAAACAATTACGAAATTTCATATAATTTTCTATAAATTTTTTATACAATATTTTTATCTTAGAGTTACAAAAATATTATTTATTTATAGTTTTATAAATTTCGCATCCTAAGAATACGGATTTTTACTGTACGGAATAAACGCCTTTACATATATTTGCAAATCCACAATGTTTTTTTAGCATAATTCGTATATTATATGTGTATTGTTACACATAATTAACGGGTATTATTGTATTTCAATTACAACAGTATTTACACATTAATTTGTACATTAGATACATTAGATTTTTATTGACTTATCTAAGAATGAAAAGATAGCGAGTATTTAATAAAAGAAATATTGTGTGCTTATTAGTAGATTAGAAGTAAACTGAAAATCCAATATAGTTTATATCTTTTATAAACAGAAGTACCTTATTAGAATGATTGGAGAACATGATAAAATATTATCTATGTGAATGTATATTCATTAGAACATGATTGAAATGTAAGTCAACCTAGCTAATTTATTAATCACAGCTACTTTAATGTTAGACCAATATTCGTATTTATCGTATTTACCAAAATTTAATTTCATACACTTAATTCACATCCGAATTAATAAACAGTTAAAACTTAAACTAATTTGCAATATTAATTTTTAAACAATACGAATTCATACAATCACGATTAAAAGAGTATTCCACAATCGAGATTGTCTCCCTTTACTCAGATTATGAACATTAATATTAAATGGGACATTCCAAATTCTTCATTTCTTCTATACAAATACGTGATGGAATTTGTAGAGAAGTCAATAAAAAGATTTGTATCTGCTTATTATATATATATATATATATATATATATATAAGATATGAGTGAGTGCGTGTGCATGTATGTAGGTAGGAATATAAATTCATGTATATTCGCAGCATCATCGCGTACGCCACCAAAAATAATAGGTGAATTGTTGGAAACAGAAGAATTTGGATACAGAGTGACAAATTAAATTTTGATACATCCTAAGGGAATTAAAAGTTTAATCAGCGAATGTCATCAATTTAAATGTCTATCTTAATTCTATAGTAGGTCTCCAAAGTCTCCAAGCAAAGGCTCGATTTGGCTTTCGTATTTACGTCATATATACAGTCCCGCACGAGTAGTCCGACCTACTAGCAAAGTATTGGCAAGTAGAAAAACGTACTCTATGACGAGACAACACCCTCAGCCTTTCCAATTCTTACGAATCACTCATTAGAATGTGTTATATTTGATAATACCGATGGACATATATTGAAAAAAAAAAAAAAAAAAAAAAAAAAAAAAACAACGAACGAACGAACGGACGAACAAAAAATCGTATTAATGACATTTTTTATGCATAGCTCATTTGAACATTGGATGTTAGATATAGCGAATGATTATATGTGACCGTATGCCTATTATCATTAATATCCTAAGAGCTTGGTAGGTTTTTCCTCCCGACAACATATTCTAATTATGTAGATAGTTAAAGTATCCGTGAAATGGTCTTTTTGCCTGATATCTGCAGCACCGGCCGGCATCGAATACTTTAAGTCGCCTATATCAAACGCGATGGCGCATGCGCGACTCACCATATGATAGTTTTTAGATAACTCTTTTACCAAAGGTGCACAGTAAACTAAGAGAGAGACACACTGATTCTCGTCTCGCCATAAATCACATTCTTTTTCGTTTATTATTTTTCATATAGTCGCGTGTTAAGATACCATAAGTTTCGAAAATTGCGCGTAAATACGGATATGCATAAAAGTTCATTGGAAAATTATAAAAAATTCATTGCATGCATGCATTAAATTATTTGTAACATGATCTTTATAAATAATCTATGATTTGGCCAAGAGAGGATTTAAGAAATTAACGACTGATTGAAATTCCATGGTTGCGAAATATTGTCGGCGAATACGGCGAATAGGAGAGTCGCTAAAGTTAATTGATTCATCCGATTGGTTCGAGAAGGTTTATACGGGACAGGCCACTGATAATAATCGAAGAGTAAAGAAGAATAGAAGAAAATAATGGGAGTCGATTAAGCCCCGGCGACTCCGACGTCCCTCCTACTTAACGAATCCCTGGATTTATGCCTTCGTCGTGTCGTTGCATCTGGTCCGCGCGCACATCAAAAGGATGCTAGGAATACTTTCAGTTTCCGCGAAGCTTGCATCGATATCGGTGATGTCGGAAGAGGAGGAGGAGGGAGGAGGAGGAGGAGGAGGAGAAAGAGGAGGAGGAGGAGGATGAGGAGGAGGAGAAAGAGGAGGAGGAGGATGAGGAGGAGGACGGGAGGCATACCCTCGCGCAGAGTATCCCCGGTGCCGCGCATACTCGAGGACGTCTGGTGGGGGCGGCGTAGCGCCGCGGCACAAGAGGGACGACCTCCCGTTCGCTCAGCACGTCAGAGAGCCGGCAGCCCGCAGATCGTGAGCTGCTCCGCAGCCTTTTCACTTTCCGCTGTCCGTAAATCGTAGGTCGCCAGCCCGAGCGAAGCGCGATCGAGCGAGCGAGCGCGCGCGCGCACGCAGCCGATAAAGCACACAAGAGGGCCCGTAAGCAAGAGGCAGAGAGAGGGAGGGAGAGAGCGCGGGAGGATACCGAGAGTTGGGAACAAGAGCCAGGAGAGAAAGTTGATAGGACCAAGAGTAAGAGAGAGAACGAGAGGGAGAACGAGAGGGAGAACGAGAGGGAGTGAAAGAGATAGAGAGAGAGAGATAGAGAGAGAGAGAGAGAGAGAGAGAGAGAGAGAGGTTAATTGAGATAAAGAGGGAGAGAAAGAAAGAGAGAGAAAGTGAGAGAAGGAGCGGCGGACCAACTCCTCCCTCACGCGTTTACGAGCCGAGCCCTTGTCGCTGGACTGCTGTAGCCGGGCTACGCTGGAAAGACAGGGGGACTGAGGTGAGTGCGTAGATCAGCTGATGCGCGCTCCCACCCTTCGCTCAACCTTCGGAAGCCTATCGCCATCTTGGGCCCCGAAGATAGTCTTTGTCCGTAAGAAAACGGAACGAGGACTGTTGCCAAGGGGTGCGACGCCAGAGGTCATCTTGTAACGTCGGCTATTAGAACAATCCGTGTCATCGTGATATATCAATATCGCGACCATCCATCCAATTATACGGCCATAATTTTGTCACCACCCATCCAACCTACCCACCCAGCCACCCACCTACCCGATAAAACGATCTCGCGATCGCCAGGTCGCGCGAGTCGCCCTCGCGTCCACGCGCCCTCGGTCGGAGATTAAGTCACGGGTTCTAATCGCTCCCTGTCGGGGCTTTAACATTGAGCAAGTGCAATCGATCCTTCCTCAGATCGCGGGTGAAAATATTGCATCATCGTGACCGGAGTCTCCTTAACCTTCGTCTCGCAATCGGGGATGAAATAGAGGGTACGGCGGTCGCGGCTCTGTCTCGGCGGTGGCGGTAGCTCCGTCGTATCCGCATGCGCAGCAAGGAAAGCCGGCTTCCTCCACATTTCACATTGACCGTACGTGGCACGTCTGTCTTGTCCACCGCTTCACACGGTTATTTAACAAAATCTTGCTATAATCGCGCTTCCGGGTAGGCCCGCGAGCCCTCGCCCATCTACCGACATCATCGGCTCGTGGGCTCAAAGCTGCCGTCATCGACAGCCGTTAACATCTCGGATCCCAGGCGATGCCACACTCGCGCTCCGGTACCTTAGAGAATACTCTCTAGCGATGAGAGTGAGAGAGTGAGTGAGTGAGAGAGAGAGAGAGAGAGAGAGAGAGAGAGAGAGAGAGGGTGGGAGGGTGAGAGCATTGGTAAATTCGCCATTTCTTTCAAGAACAATCGATAGGGAGCGTAACTCTTACGTATCAAGCGAGAATTCTTTAATTATTGCGCTGCGTATCCTTGAAATCGTTGGAAAGTCCCTGCCCATATGTGCCGATGATGGTTTTGTATCGATTGCGTCAGAAAGTATTCCGTTCGCGTGCTCACTTCGCTTTTCAAAATGTCTCTTAAATTATTTTTACATCAGCTATAATACGGTTACCAAGTGTAGCATATCGCATCTGCGTTTCATGATAATTTAATTTTCAAAATTTCCCAAGACGCGCGTGTTTATGTTTGAATATCCCGAAATTTGATCGAATCGAAGCGGCAAGTATTTCCATATACCGTATTATGCTTGTGTAATGAGTATTTTGCATGGAACTCGCATTGCTTCGCAAGCAATTAGTCGATGTGACACGAATAAATAAAATTTAATATACGCACTGAGCACATTGTTCAAATAATAATTGGCATCGCTCCTTTTCGTTTGAACGTGCACTCATAGTGTCGGTGATCACAATGACAATTAATCCGACAATATATTAATCATTGTAATAGAACTTAGTTATCAGAAGTTGTATAGTAAGTTGAACGAGTGATGATACCGTAATAAGAAATGTGTAATTGGCAAACGAGAGCGGGTGGTGGAGTATCAATGCAAAAACGAGAATATTATTGTCTTAATTTTTGACAGTTATGACGACCATGACTACCGCTGGCGTGGGGGGAGGTGGGAACGGGACGACGGAGAGTGGGGGCTGCAGCGCGGAACAGATACCGAATCCAACAACACCGCCGGCCCAGCAGCAACAGCATCAGCATCATCCGCCTCCATCGCCTCTTAGTGGATGCTACCTCTTGGTGGTGCTTCCCGAACCTCATACCGCACAACATAAGGATCTCATCTTGAATCGACTCGCTAAAGGTTTTCACACACTTCTACTTATACGCACTCGATCCTTTTCTCCGCCCACGGCCCCATTCTCACACACACACGCACGCACGCACGCACGCACGCACACACACACACACACTCTCTCTCTCTCTCTCTCTCTATCTGTCTATTACTCTCTCTCTATCTGTATATTACTCTATCCTTACGTACCTCAATTGCTGGTTTGCTATATTGCTATTTTTACGAATTTATATTCTGTTATTTTTAAGAATTTCGTACAGAATACATAAGTTTTCAATACCGTAATAAACAACGAATGGTCACAAGAAAACGTATTGAAAAGAATCGTGGGACGATGATTCAATAGCAACCATCTGAAAAATGTTATACTTTTCAAGACATCAAAATCAAATAACAAACGATAATATTCTTATTATTTCAATTCGATTTGAAATTTTTTGCTTTATCTATTGATCGGATTTAACATTATTTAAATATCCGGTTAGATATCTGGAAATCAATTGTTTTTATATAAAATACTTTATGGCTACATGTCATAAAATTTATGTCCCTAATATACATTCAAGTTACGAATAAATTATTTTTTGGATAGATTCTTTGTTTAACTGATATTATATATTGCGAAAATCTATTTATCTTGCTAATTTTACAAAAACTTAATTCTCATTTATTAATGGAGTTTTTTTTTCAGTTTATGTGCTACTTAATATTCATTTAAAATGCCATAATGGACGGATAAAAATTAATCTATTGGGATACATTTGTGTATTTTCAACGATAATATAGTTTGTCTAAATGACTTTCTTTTAATAGACTTTATGCAATTAATTTAACGATGTTTTTAATTTAATTTTTCTCCTTTAAAAGTAAAAATCAATATAACTTCCATGCTTAATAATTAACCATAATAAATTTTAGAAAAATGTATTATCATAATTTTTAATTATTTTAAAGATCTTCTATTTCAAAGTCTACAATTTTGCTTTTTAATTATACATAATTTGCAGAAAAAACACTACACACTTTGTCTTTTATATATATATATATATATATATATATAATATTTACAAATTCGCTTCAAAATCTAAATAATTAAGAACTTTTATTAAACTGATTCTTGTTAGTGAGAGAATAAGTAGAAACCCGTCTTTCTTCTCAAATTTTAATATTTCATTTGTTTAATTTTTATGTATCTTTGAGATTGAATCGAGTGCAAAGAGTTATGATTAGCTCGAGATATATTTTTACTTTTGTATTACAAGGTTATTATCTACTATGGCACTTTTAAAGATGTTCATTAAAACAGAGAACTTCTTTTGTGGTCAAATAATTTACGAGAGAACAATATGCATTGATCTAATTAGACTTAGTTGGATAAAAGCCTTGTAAAGCTTTGTGGGCTTCAGTCAACTCGGACTGGACATGAATAAGCAATCTAAGATGCACTGGAGATTTTTGTAGTAATTTAGAGTCATTTAGTATTGAAAGAGACGAATAAATCCAGCATGACCTACAATTCCTTTAATCGTACAATTTTAATTTGCCAAAAAATGTTTATTTGAAAATGGCTTGTTGTCTCTAGGATTTCAAATGCTCGTAAACGCACGACCTATAAACCGAAAGCATCTCTTTCCATTCCAGTTTATGGCAAAAGTAATCATCGTTTAAGTAGTAAAAAAAAGGGTAATTATCTAAGTACTATAAACGATATTAAGATAAAAAAAAAAAGAAGAAATAAATAAAAAAAATATGAAACAAATTATATTTCATTTTATAAGGATGCTTGCCACTTAATTAAAAAATCGTAATAACTCTAATTGAATGATGGCTGACATTCCCAGCCAGAATGTCAGAACTATGGGCAAATATTAATTTTAAAATAAATCTAATTTACTCGGCGCTTATTTTACTTCCAAATGATTATAATAATGATAATGAAGTCACGTAGTAGTTACATTATTATAAAAGCATAAATTCAATGGGATTTATCCTTTCCACTATTATTATGTTCGGAATATCAATTTTCACCAAGTAAAATCTGATTTACATAATTCATTATTTTTCACAGTCGTTATGTCCAGCAGGCAAATAAGCCGAATAGGGCTATGTCCATGAGCATTGAAAAGTTCAATAAATACTCAAAGCACATCGATTAATTCGCTGTTTAGACTAAAATAATAATCTAGAATTGAGAGAAAATTCGTTTTCAAGCGTATGGCTTAACCAATTTACCTTTTTCACTTGATAGTACACCTCTATTGAAGTCTATTGAATTCTTTCATGGAAATGGTTCGAGGATGTTAAGTTGGCTAATATTCGTAAAGGTGTTGCGTGACTTCCGCCGCCGCGCTCACTACGTACGCCTAACGGTTACACGCACGCGTTCGTACGCACGCGAGCACGCATGCACACACGCGCGGAATGAAAGAGAAGGAGAGAGATACGTAGATAGATATAAACACGGAACATTTATCAAGCTTGGTGGCCCTCGGTTTGCAAACTCTGTTGCTAAGTGTCGACCCGACGCACCGTGAACGCCCTTTTCTACTTTCTAAGTTTTCTCCCCACGGGTCTTACATCCCTGCGATGTCAATGATTCACGACGGCGGCTCGTCGATACAGGGGAGAGCCTCAATTGCACGCCGATAAAGCGCCTCAAACTTTCATCGGTTGGATTTTTATGTATGCAGGCCTGAGAAATCTTATCCTTAGCTCGACCATCTGCGAGAAATTAGCGCCGCGCTAATTATTATCGAGCGCGTGGATTGCTATTTTTTGAAATGCTGAATTTTAAATTCATCGCGTGATGTGCTCGATGGAATTGTTCTCATAAAGTACAAGTTTCATTGCTCTGTCGCGATATTCACATAATGAAACGCAAGTAGATTTTATTTTTCGATTTGACTTGTGTGGCACAGCGAGCTCATGTCGCCGAAACAATTCCAGTAGTCGAATAATAGAGGGACGTTCCTTAATCCTTACACATTTATTCTCATTTAGCATTAGATTTCTTTTAAGATTTAGGCAAATTCATATTGAATCGATGCGATCTCTCTCTCTCTCTCTCTCTCTCTCTCTTTTACCCTCAATATTTTTTTGATTTTCTTAATCTTTGCAGAACTAAACGGCGCTAGTTGCTATACTTATCAATAGCAAATGCTCTCAACGGTCGAAGAGACATACGTTTAAAGAATGTCAGCCTTAGCGAAAGAATAATTATATAATTATTCATGAAGTTTGAACGCAATAATCGGTATAATTCAATGACGAGTACGTGGTTTCAAGGTCAAATTGAGCTAACGTTAGTCCATTACTGTATTACAGCAAATACATTGTTAATTCTGTCTGCAAAATTTAAATAAGACTGCTCGTAGACGCATGGATTGTTGTGCTATCGTGCCGTTGAACAACCCAAGAACAATGAGCCAACAGCTCGCGAATCGCGTGTACGAGCCTCCGCTCTGCAATGCGCCATTGGCATTTTTATTCGCGGTATAACTCCTCGCGAATGCAAATCCTTTAGCTTTAATTGTCAGAGCCGCGCTAAAAAAAATTAGCATCGCTCTCGTGCGATTTGCATTGGACTGCGCGCTCATTGTCGTCCTACATTACGAATAAATGCAAGGAACGGAAATTCAAAGGAAAATTGGTCTTCCAGATTTTGAGGGGACAAGAAGAGACGGGAGGCTGAAAATTGCACGGTCCAAGGGCGAACTTTGTTCATATTATCGCAAACGCTTATCTCTACTTTTTTACTAAAACGATCTGATATGGTTTAATATTTTACACGGGCTCGTTTGATCGCTCCTCTCGAGTTGTACATTTCCTAAGGGATGGGGCACTTTTGCTCAAGTGTTTGCTACTCCATTTGACCTCAGGCGCCTGTTCCGATCGCCCAAGTGCAATTTGATAAAAGTACGAGGGGATAGTCGAAAGGCTTGCGCAAATACGTTTAAGGACGACGAATGGCTGAATTTTTATTGCAATCGTCTTGGTATAATGTCTGAATATTTGGAAATACACGTACATCCCTTTTTAATCTTCATCCAATAAAAATTAGTTTTTTTAGTAAACTCTATTGCTAAAATCTATATAAAGTATAGATGAGATATTTATTAAAACAATTATCATAAACATGTTTTCATTGTTGAAAAAATATGAAAAATTAGATATCATTAATAAAAGAATTTAGACGATAAATATATCAATTACAATATTTATACTTTAAACAATCATTTAATTGTTTTTTTTAATAAACGTACTTACATAACAAAAATTATTGCTTCTTATTTTTAATTTCTTTTAATGTACGGACGATCAGATAATTTAATGTACGGACATATGTGTCTATCTTGGTAAGAATTGTTAATTAATGTTATATAAATTGATAAAATATTATAATTTCGTCTTGACACGATAAGAACATAAAAATTACATTTATATACATATGAAGACGAAATGAATTATTTTTTTAGATTAACGTATCATGGTTTTTAGCACGTAATTTAATATTTCATTATATCAATAATTCAAAAATATTATGTTATAATTTATAGTTAAATTTATTTAATTTTCAATAAAATATTAGAATACAGTTAAGATAATTCGTTGACATAATTTTCAAATATTGAACATTTTATCAATATATTTTTCTATTTCTTATAATATTACATATATTTTACTATAAATATTAGTGTTTTGATCGAATATTTATTTTTGGTTTAAATATGCTTAAAATTTAATTTATACTTTATACTTAAATAAAATATTTTTGCTATTAAACTTTGTTTAATGTTTCTGTTCTCCACTCATATTGGTTTTTCAAAATTCTAAATAATTAGCATATACTCTATATAATTACAAAATAAAACTTTTAAAATCCTCGAAATAATTTTCTAAAATTTTTGACAATTGATTTTGAAAAACTAAGTCGAATAATAGTTATAGCTTCGTCACATTATTGTTGGCTTTACTTTTCGAACATATATTAGTAATAATTCATTGTTACA